GATATACGCTTCTCAGTTATACCCTCATGGTCCAAACTGAACTCCTCCTCAGACTTACTATGGCATCGATGCCGTGGAAGACGTGATCAACAGCTGTCTACAAAAGATTAGAAAAAAACAGACAACAATCAGTTGGAAAAACTGCTTCGTGTGAAAGCAGTGCGATCTGGCAGTAGAGGGGCGCTCACCGATCGCGTTGCAGAACTCACACATCCCATTGTGCCTTGGGGCTCCCTCTCGAGCCCGACAGCAATATAGACAAAACACCATTGCTGGCAGGGACAAGGGAGACTGGAATGGCCATTTCTGGCTTGTTGGCCGTCGTCAGCCAGCCGTACCCAACACGGGATACTAAATATACTGGAAACCACACCGGACAGGGCACAAATGCATCGCGTGGTGAAATGAATGAGATGGTACGGAACTCACTCGTCCCGTTGTGCCTTGGGGCCCAACCAGCAGCCGCATAAGCGCGTGTACTATAGGCAGGATAACCTTACCGACATAGACAGGGGAGACTGGAATGGCCATTTTTGGCTTATTAGCCATCGTGGGCTAGCCAAACCCAACCCCGACACATGCGACCTCTTGGACTCGATTGCGCGACCTGCTGGTTAGAAGTCCAACACGCCGAATCATTGAGCGTCCCTTTACCAGCATATATTACACATCGCAACTGACAGTATAAAGAGCCCATGACTCAGTGGTTAGGACTTGGAACTTCAACCAACCGGTCGCGGAACCGAGCCCGGGGTGTTCCACACTTTGGGCTGGGTATGAGTGACTGACGACGGCTAATAAGTCAGAAATGGCATTTCCAGTCTCCCTTGTCTTTGTCGGTAATACTATTATACAGTGTAATCTGTTTTAAACACTGAGAAGTGATGACAGTTGTATATACTAAAATATCAGCAGTATGACGCTGGATTTGAATCTTCGCAGCTGCGTTGGAAGATCATCGCTCCAGACCAAATGCATCCCCTAAGAGACTTTTGTCGTGCTCCTAGAACTCGTTCACTGCAATTCCCACTGTTGCCCACTGTTTACATCCGCCTGGGAACAGCATTCAGAGACATAGATACTCAAAACAGTCCTTTGTCTCAATTTTCTCAGGCATCTCGTTAAAAAGCCAGAATCTATACCAGCACATTATCGCAGAGCATTACAACCACAGACACGGAAATTCCGAAATACGTTTTGTTTCGAAAAGATTAATTAAATAAGGTTGTAAAACTAGTCAGCTTGCAACATAATTCTGTATTAGTTCAGTTGCGGGTTGAAAATTATTTGGGAATTGGAAAAGTTTTTGAAAACCAAATTATATCTTTTCTTCAAGTATAAGATTAGAAGAAGACGCCATTTTCTACCGAATGAACAAAAGGATGAATCCATATAAAAAACCTCAGAAATAAATGTAACATCAACTTCAACGAATGCCGTTCACATTTTGTCCGCTTTCTACTTGCAAATTGTTCCATTTCTTTTGACTGAAATAATGCTTCCTCTGCGTTCCCATTAACAAGTCCGAGGACGAATGAAATTCGTGGAGGGTCTAAAGGGAATAATCAATGCTGATGATCAGTCCCCGCCCGAGTACAAAAACGGGAATCAGTACAGTAGGTGGGCTAACTCATGAAACGTCAACGAAAATTTCTAAAGGCACTTTCGTTTCTAAAAGATTAATTAAGAAGGGTGGTAAAACAAGTCAGCCTGCAACATAGTTCTATAATATTTCAGTTACCTCAGGGTGTCGGCTTTCGAAAGAACTTCCTTCCGGCTTCATGCAAAAACTGCATTCCGTAAAAAATGACTACTCAGGTAGCATGAATTTTTCTAACTCATTTTCGCTGTCCCTAAAAGTCCACTTTTATTTCCTGTAAACCATGCACAGAAGTTTTCATTCTTTCGCTCATTTGGTGGAAAATTACGTCTTCTTTTAATTTTATAGTCGAAGGAACGGTATAATTTGGTTTTCATAGACTTTTCGATTCCCGAATAATTTTGAACTCCATCTGCAACTACACTTGCATTCAGGGTTTCGAAATTACAGGCCGTATATTTTCCGCGTACGGTAAACCCCACATTTCTCTATGGTAATAATGGGGGACTATATAGGGTTCGTAAAATTTAGCAGTGGATTTGATCCATATTGTTAACTTTACAAGCCGCATTGGTAAATGCAGTGACATGACGATTTATGAACGGTGAGATCACGTTATTTAAAAGTCCCACAATTAGAAACTTTTTAAAACCGTGGTATTTCCCTCCTTCGAGTATAAAATTAAAAGAAGACGTTATTTCCACCGAATGAGCGAAAGACTGAATATTTCTGTGCATGGTTTACAGTAAATATAATTGGACTTTTAGGGGCATCGAAAATGAATATGAAAAATTCATGCTACCAGAGTAGTCATTTTTTACAGAATGCAGTTTTTGCATGAAGCCGGAAGGAAGTTCATTCGAAAGCAGGCATCTTGAGGTAACTGAAATATCATAGAATTATGTTGCAGGTTGACTAGTTTTGCAACCCTACTTAATTAATCTTTTCAAAACGCATTTCCGAATTTCGGTGACAGTTGATGAGTTAGCCCACCTACCGTATGCATATAACAGTAGTGAAGGGTGCTCGCCGTCCCAGCACTGCAGGCAGTCTCACAGCGACTAGTATGCAGAGCAGGACTATGACAAAGACCAGGATGATTGGAATTGGCCGTCATCAGCCAGTCATACCTAGCCCCGGGGTGTGCAACATCTGACGCTCGATTCCGCGACATGTCGGTTAGAAGTCCAACGCCCTATCCTCTGAGCACCGTTCTGCCATTGAATATTTCCGATCACAACTGACGGGACAATGAGCCAGTGATTAGAGTGCTGGACTTCTAACCAACGGGTCGAGGGATCGAGTCCTAGGGGTTGCGCACCTTGGGGTTTAGTATGGCTGGCTAACAAGTCAGAAATGGCCTTTCCAGTCTCCCTTTTCTTTATCGGTATTGTGGCTCTGCAGTATTATCTTTATAAGCACCGAACATTGTAGCAACAGTCCGATCTCTCACAAGCGGAGTACTGTCAAAAGTCTGATACATCGAGCAAAAACACATTGCTCTGATGAAGAAAGCTACAAAGTTGAACTAAACTACCTATTTGAATTATTTTCCCAGAACGGATACCCGAGAGATTTCGTACGTCGATGCATGGAACAACAAGAGATAAAAACAAAGGAACTAGATAGTTCCAATCAAGCGCCCAAAACAAACACTTGGCGAATCCTTCCTTACATCAGGAATGTGTCTGAACTTGTTGAAAGACACTTGAGGAAACACCAGATAAAAGTGGCGCACAAGCCGACGACTACTCTACGCACCCAGCTTGTACACCCTAAGGATAGGGTTGGCTATCTCGATAAAAAAGAATTCGTCTATAAGATCCCATGCGATGCCTGTGATGCCGTATATTGTGGCCAAACGGGAAAATTTGCCTCTACACGCATCCACGAACATCAACTTGCAGTTAAGAGGCGAGACCACTTGTCTCAAATGGCCACGCACACTCTTGATACTGGGCACAATTTCGCATGGGACAAAACTCGCATCGTCGGAGTTTGCCCATCTAAAAAAGGCCGAGAGTTTCTTGAAGCCATGCACTCCGATGAGTCATGCATCAACAGGCATATCGAGTTAGATGTCACGTACAAGAATCTCAGAGAAAAGTGGAAGAGACTAAAGCCGATCAATACGGACTGACACATACGACGGTAGCTTACTAGCTGAGGCACCGAATGAGTATTGATTTTGTAGCACGTTTGAAATTTTAATTGTTTTCTGCACATTTACTCTAGTCTGATGACGACACGGGGAACCGACGTCGAAAATTTACTCAATAAAGTTTTCTCCCTTTCCCAAAGAACGTATTTGTTTTCAAATTATATTTCTTGGGATGCCTGCGTTCCAATTCATTAGTATTATCTTTATAAGTACCGAAAATTTATAAAAATAATACACTCTAATACACCAGTCATTTGGTTTTGGATTTGAATCGTCGCAGTCGCACTGGAAGATCAGCGCCACAGAGCAAATGTGTTCCCTTAAGAGACTTAGGTCGTGATCCTAGAACTCTTGCGCTGCAGCCCCATATAAGTACTCTTTTCTATTCTTCATGCGGTTTGTTGCCTACTGTTTACATCCACCTGGGAACACTATTCAGGGGCATAAGGTGGTCAAGACGGTCTTTTGTCTCGGTCTGCCCTCGAATCTCGTGGTAGAGCTCGAATTTCTAACAGCACTTAATCGAAGGGCATTATCACCACAAACATAGAAGGCCGAAATGGTCCTGTCTTGTAAATTTGACGTCCCCAGCCGGCTATAACCTGCCAGTCGGCCGGGCAGATCTGACGTTTCAGCTCAAACTTCATTGTACTAATGAACCATCATCTACCGGCGGTTGGAGGGGGCTCCCGCCCTTTCCGTTACGATCGAGAATAAGAAAATCGCACGGTTTACGAGATCACCGTCTTACTCCGACGGAATCACCACGGAAGCGCGTGTGGGAGCTTTACTTGGGTGGCGCGAGATGAAATTGGATGTCCTATTTTCATTCTGCTAGTAGGATTGACCAGTAGGAGCCACTTTTACACAATAGTTGTTCGTATTTGTCGAGGTATTATGAAGAACTTAGCTTCTGACGTAGAAAATCGCGCTTTATGCCCACCGCGCTGGAAATGGTACCATCTCAGTGTTTCGGAACCGCCACCACATAAGTTGCTGATGCTACCATCCGGTAGGTAACGTGAACCACCTCAGTCAAAAAGAGTATTCAGTCAGTAGACAAGCAAACAGAACTGCCTTGAAACTCCCTCACAAATCCATAGTGAGATACGTCACTGAAATGCCTGCCGAAAAGCGGGCTTACTGAGATCAAGAAACCAACCCGCACGGTACGACAGGCGACCACCCATCCATTGAGACTTCGTTCGCAAGCCCTCCATCGTCTTTTCTTCACCACGGATGTCTCCTTCCGAACGCGTAATTTCCCCAATTGAGCATTCAGACATCAGTGATGACTACGAAGAAAGTGACTGCACAAAACAGACGCGTTTCAGTGCGATAAAGGAGGAGGAGGAGGAGGAGGAGGAGAGCATCAACTTTGAATTCCCACAGGACTGGCATCCAGACGGGGTTAATTTGATGCAATGTGAAGGCGCCGTTCCAGTGCCTCTTCAGGGAGTCTGATATCCTCACGAATTTGTCTCCGACGTGGCCTGTCAAACGTGCGCAGTCTTGGCTGGGCAGTTATGAGGCCGCACGGGGTCGTTAGACCGTGCGCAGGCGGATTCTGTCTGCAGGATCGCGGGGAGGTGATCACAAACATCAGGAGGTGCACAATTGTGATGAAAAGTGGAAGCAGAACAGACATTTCAAATTTTCACCTAATTTAGTCGGAGCGAAGATAACTGGGTGGTATTGTTTGTCGTAGAGGTGCGGGCATTGCAAATATGGTAGGCCGATGGAGGATTCTGAACTCTTTAGTGGGAAAGTAGCCAAAGCTAAGACGAGAACGGGCAACTTGATGCTCCGGTTTAGAAGTAGGGTTTGTTTCAGAGTTTGGGTTAGTGTTAGGCTGAGTTTCCGGTTAGGGTTTTTGTCAAGTTTAAGGGCTCCGTTTAGAGTTAGGATTTGAATTGCGGTTTTTCTTTACGTTTGCTGTTAAGGTTAGGGTCGGGGTTAGTGTTAGGGTTGAGTAGGGTTACGATTAACGTTAAGGTTATGGGTAAGGTTAGTGTTAGGCTTTTGGTTACAGTTAGGGTTAGGATTTGGGTCACGGTTAAGGTTAGGCTTAGGGCTAGGACTAGGGCTTGTGATAGGTTTAGTGTCAAGTTAATGGTTAGCGTCAGGTTTGTAATTATGTTAAGGACTAAGTTTACTTTTAAGGTTACGGTTAGGTTTGCGGTATTGCTGCCCCGCGTGTCCTGTCAGCCAGGTCTTTTGCAGGAATTCTAGTCTTCCTCCTATCTCGCGACAGGTACGTCATACATCAGGTTGACTTGTCCGTTTCTGCTTCGCATAATTTCCCGCTAACGATTCCAGCATTCCCCTTCGGCTTACTTTATTTTCAATGCCCACGTTGTACTTACACTTGGGACCAGGGCAGCGTAACTAACTCTTGCCACAAGCTTCCTCTTCAGATATCAAGAAATAAGTCATCAAAATGCTCGGGCAGTTTACCCAAACTGCACGATTTACGTGAACCTTTTCAACTATACAGGATTGTGAGATTCATAAGCTCAGGAATGAGCCTCCTGCCGCTGGAATCAGGCCTAACGCAGTCTGTGTATGCGGTGCAGGCAGCACCAAACTCTCTGAAAATTGGCTGCGAATTTTGAAACTTGAAATACAATTCTTTCAACCCCGCTTCTTCTACTTCTTTTCTTGATATGTTAACTGGGATTCGCATTTGACCACAGTCAACATCGTGTCGTGTTTCGTATTATTTCAGGAGTCAAAACTGTTGATATGCGAAAAAAATCCCACAATGCATAAAGCAAAGATCATCGGGGATGTTTATGCTCAGATTTATTTAAAAAGCTTTCTTTAACGGATTTTTGCCTACAGAAGTTTGCACATTCCCTTCTACTAATCAACTTTCTCCATGTTTTACAAGTCTATTATCTAATAAAAACGCATGCTTCCGAACAGTGCCATGATGCATTTAATAATCACTGCATATTTTCAATTAAGTGAAGAGTGGCAACCATTTTGGTCGGTGCAGCTGGCGGTGCGGAATTAGGTCTGTTAGATATTTTCTAAAAAATGTACACCGTTCTCAAGTTTGAAGTCACAAAACTCCGAGCTTTAATAAAGTGGGCTTCAAACCCCGACTCCTGGGATAGTTCAGCGATACGTCCAAGGCTGAACAATTGAGCCAAGGGTCCGTGATCTCGTCGATGACGGTCAGGATATTTGACTAGATGTAAATGTATGCACTATATTAAGTCATCACCTCTCGCTTTAATGGCCTTCCACGCTGCGAGCGTTCCTACCAACCGGAAAATACGTCCTGCTCTGGGCAGCCAGTGACTCGCCGAGTCACGAACGACACTTGCTGGGACAGGCAAGTTGCAATTTAGCCTGCTGCTACTGCTGTCAGCAGTATGCATGCCTTGATCGGGGATAGAAATGGTTGACGTGGACATAAATTTGCCCGAAACGGCGACTGCATCATCGTCGAGAGCCTGGCAGCCTGGCGTGTACGGCATCATCATCATCATCATCATCATCATCATCATCATCATCATCATCATCATCATCATCATCATCATCATCATCATCATCATCATCATCATCATCATCATCATCATCATCATTATCATCATCATCATCATCATCCATCATCATCATCATCATCATCATCGTCGTCGTCGTCATCATCATCATCATCATCACCATCGTCGTCGTCGTCATCATCATCATCATCATCATCGTCGTAGTCATCATCATCATCATCATCGTCGTCGTCATCATCAGCATCATCATCATCATCGTCGTCGTCGTCGTCATCATCATCATCATCATCGTCGTCGTCGTCATCATCATCATCGTCGTCGTCATCATCATCATCGTCGTCGTCGTCGTCGTCGTCATCATCATCATCATCCATCATCATCATCATCATCATCATCATCACCGCCGCCACCACCACCATCACCAACACCACCACCACTACTACTACTACTACTACCAATACTGCCATCGGCGCTCCGAAAAACCAAGAAACGGCATGAGGGCCCACTCGCATACGATTCAACCGGTGTTTGCCCACAAAATTTCATAGAAGACGACCATGAAGAGAGGCTCGATGCTACTGATGAAATCCCCGTTTGATCATCAGTGCAGTGCAAGGATACGTCTGTGTTGTTGGTCGCAGGTGCTTTTCGCGTTCGTGATCCTCGAATGAAGACATGCAGTGGTTACATAATAGCCTCTGTCCCTTTGCTATCGAAATCCCCGATATATATATGTCAGACGTATGTCCAGTGACCGTAGTGGGGGGCTATGTTTATCCCGTTGCACCTTTGTGTACTGCGAAAACGCATTTGTGCTGGGCAGAGTTCCGACAAACAAAAGGGAAGCCTGGAGGAGTGTCGCCCGTGCATAGCTCAGTATTCTCGATCGCAACAGGCAAGGCAAGAAGCGTGGAGTTCATTGGTAAAGCGTTCGTATAATTCTTAATCCAAATAGCATGTGCTCTAAAAGCCTGGAATCGGGAACGGTAGGCTGGCGATGGCTAATAATCCGGAAATAACCATCACTTGTTTTTTTGTCGTGGTGTCCTTCAGCCCATGTATATATAGAGACAGTATGTTATTACCGACAAAGACAAGTGAGACCGGAATGGCCATTTCTGGCTTATTAGCCGGTGTCAGTCAGTCATACCCAACCCCGAAATGTGGAACACCCGAGTGAGTTCTGTAACAAGGATCGGTGAGCGCCCCCTACCATTGTATATTCCCGATCGAAAACCGAAAGTGCAACGGGCTCGTGGCCCAGTGTTTAGAGGCGTGGACTTCTAACAAACAGGTCGCGAGTTCGAGCCTCGGGTGTTCCACACTTCGGGATTGGGTATGGCTGGCTGACGACGGCTAATAAGCCAGAAATGGCCATTCCAATCTCCCTTGTCTTTGTCGGTAATAACATACTGTCTCTATCATGCGCCGCTGTGCGGCTGCTGATTGGTCTCGAGAGAGAGCCCGTAAAGCAAAATGGAATGAATGAGTTCCTTAAGAACAATCGGTGAGCGCCCCCTACCATTATATATATGTATGAATTTGATAACAGGCATCCCAAGAATCATAATTCGAAAGAAATAAGCTCTTTGGGAAAGATAAACAAGTTTTATTGTAAATTTTCGATCTTGGTTCCTCAAGTCGTCTTCAGACGTGTTACCTGTTTTGCACACTTACTTCACGTCTGAAGACGACTTGGGGAACCAAGATCGAAAATTTACCATAAAACTTGTTTATCTTTCCCAAAGAGTTTATTTCTTTCGAAATATATATGTATCTATATCGTGCTTGTTATCCCCCGGAGAAGCATGGTAATATATCTGGACCTCGGATCTTCACGCATTTTGATATGCATATATATATACATAAATGGACCAAGCAGAAAATGCTGACGCTAGGACAACCCATCGTTCTCTTACTATAAATATACAGGCACACGAATATTAAATACGAGATGACATAAATTCTCCTTATTACCGCCAGCCATTTTCAAATGCGACGCCTAAGAGTATTATGCTATCTGTGATGCTGCCCAGGACGTAAGCTCATGGGAACATTTGCTCGGCGCACTGGCAGAAGGCCTTTTAAATGTTGTGTTTGGGACTCTTCATGTATGCATTTGGAAATGTGAATATGTATGATTTATTCACAAACAAGTTTATCCCTTTCTCACGTCATTCCAGGTATTCGAAATTTCAACTCTGTCAATAATTGGTCGTTTCCAAAAAAACCCCAGACCTGCATTTAAGACTATCTTTCAATTGTCCGTTAAATATCGCATATGAACTAGTATTTCCAGATTTACTAGTTGCTTTCAGAGAGCAAAATATTTCAGTAAAATGTGCATACCTTTATTGACTTAGACTACGCATATATTATACATACAGAAAATGTCTAAAAAGGATTTTAAGCCTCTGACTAATAGAGCTTGCCAGACAGTTACAAATAATAGACACAGATAACACGGGATTCGAGTCCGGACGCTTTGAGCATAAGGCCTTAAGTCAAGCGTTCTATCTTCCAGTAATGTGTCCTTTTTTCCGGCCGTTTGCAGTCGGAGTTATTAAATAAAGTTTGTCTACTGTAATCCCACCGGACTACAGAACAGACTAAGCTGCAAATTGGACTCAGAGACAAAATGAGGGCAACATTTTATTTAACGCAACTAGATCAATGGAGGACACATCTAGCCTTTAAGCCCCAAGGTGCTTTCTTTGTCGTGAAATGCCCAATGTAAATATTACTGTCCATTCTCAGACAAACACATGGAGAATATGGAAGTATGATGAGGCCAAATAAGTGTTTGGGGGGAGAAACCAGGCCTCAGCGCTAGCTTTCAGGCTCCGCACTCTGGGGCCATCCGCATAGGCCCAGCAGCTGTGCAAAGGAATTTGCCTTCGAAAACAATAAATAATTTTCCAATATTTGGCGTCCGAAGAGCAGTCACTGTGCGTCATAGCATCGCAGTTAAATGGGCCTGCGTCCCCTGCAGTTCTCCCGGAAAATTTTGTACGTAGCATTCAAACTGACATGCCGCCTGATGCATGATTCATCCGGCTTCCGGTTATTCTTGAACGGGCAACCAGCAGTAATGCAAGTTCTGTGCCAGGCAAACGTGGACGCAGTATTTAGGGCATGCATGACTATTTGTAAAGAGTGGTTCCGCCTCATTTCTGTCAACTGATATTCTCTAATGCTTTTAAAAGGCGACTTTTCAGCTTAACCACAATATAAAACAGTCTTCCGTGCGTCTGGCGAAATTCTGCAGAAAACTTTCTTCTCAATTACATTTAAAACAATATCCTTAGGATTCACATGCCGGATGTGCAATATCATCGTAAGGATGTGCATTACTCGTACACGGCGACTACTCTAGTTTAACCCTCGAGGGACTCAGATACCTGGTTAAGGTTAGGATGTACTCATCCTACTGCTGAGTTGAACGCATTGCTATGCCTACATCTGGTTCTTCTGTTGATTCATGCTATTTCACGTCTTGACGTACTAGTTTTTCAGCGTACCCCATTTGAGGAAGTGACTTGAACGAGCAACTGAATCCTATGCGATAATCTACACTGTCAGAGTTTTGAGTTTTGATCAATCAGGTTAGTTTTTGACAGTACTCGGTTTATGGGTAACGGGGCCACTGTCCTGCAAGTTCTAGAGTTGGTGTTGTTAATTTGGATGGGAAGGACAACAGTTTTGATGTTGCGTATAACATTTCGGACAGGACTGCGGGGAACGCCGGTCCATTAAAATCGGATGCTGGGACGCAAATTATTAGTTTTTATGCCCTCTTTGGAAGGAAAGTCCCTTACGCATTTACTGCGTATCTGAGGATGGCCTCAGGAAGCGGAGCCCGAAAGCTATCGGCGACGTCAGGTTTCTTTATTAAAGACGTATTTGGACTCATCATACTTCCATGCTGTTCATGTGTTTGTCTGGGTATGGACCGTACCGATTGGATTGAACATTTCATGATGGAGAAAGCACCCTCAGGAGTAATGACTAACAAATGGAAAAAAAACAGACGGTTAAAGCAACTTGGGGAAATGCTGTTGCCGAGAAGAGATAGTAAGGCCAACACTGTCGCCCAAATCGATGTTACTCGCAGAATCTTTACAAGCCTTTCAGAGTATCACATCACATCTCCATTGCCGCAAAGATTCGGGTGAACTGGGCACCCGTCCGGTCAGACCTGCTGTACGGTTGTGAATGCTGGGCTATAGGCGTGGAAGATGAGCGACTATTCTTCAAAAGATGTTCACCGACTTCTTCTCAAATGACACAGTTCGTTATTGCTGCGTCAACATTCTCAGGATATCCCAGGAGTTTCAGTGAAGGTGCGTTTTAGTTGCTCCGTCAAGTCTTTTCGTGCTGACCTCGATCGGACGTCACTGCCCCTCTCCCCTCCCCTAGAAACGTCAGAAAAGTAGACATAAATACGCAGGACGCGACACAGTTCGTCAGCAATTGGAAGTGGCGGTTTCGCCTTCTGCATTCGGTCTGCTTCGCCAGAGGAGAGCGAACGGGACGAACTATCCATATCAGCTGCCGCGGATTGTCACGTGTGGGGGAGGGGATGTAATTTGGGATATTATAGAGGAGGCTAAATCATACAGGATCTCAGCTGTACTGGACGTATCATTCATTAAGCTGGTTGCCATAGGGAATAAGCTGGTTCAGCCTTGTCTTGGATTACCTTCTACAGCTCAATCCGTACTGTAAACTCTCACGTCCTGTAATAATTTCGACTGCAGCCGACGGGAACAGTGGCCAGATCTAAGTGGCCAAAAGAGTTCGGGTTTGAATGCCTGGTCATTCACATTTACCGTTGCCGTTACGTAAAACATGGGAGTCAAGTAAACGTTTCAACAATTTCCTAACAGTTTTTACACCAGCAGCTTTTCAGTTTGCTCAGAAATTAATCGCTAACTTGGAATAAACTAGTCTATTTGAAACTTATACAATCAAACTGAGAACTGATATGAATATTTGGGCCGATTTTCATCAGGCACGGCGGGACAATCGCGTACTATTCATTCACTGCCAAAAGGTGTTCAGTAGTATATACACAGCCTGCATGACATGCCATACTTGAAGGCGTAGGTGCTAGCTAAAACCCAGGTACGTGTTTCACCGATATTCTGCCGCTGTGTGGCACAGTTATTAAGGGTCCGGCTCAACAGCATATCCCACGGCTTTCCCTCATGTGCTTTTTGGTAGATACTCCAGTTTTAAAACTGCAGACTTTTGATTTCCGCAGGCAATAATCATTGCGCCAATTGCATTGAATAAGGTTCTGAAATAAATTACTGTTTTCCGCCTAATTGAAATCTCATAGCGAACTTCGAAGCAAGCGTTACATAGTACTAAATATTTTGAGAATGGCGGTCTGGCGAACAAAAGTACACAAGGG